CATAACCATATATGAAACAAATTCATCAAAAAAATATTATATGAAACAATTTCACAAGATTAAACAATTTCATGAAAAAATTTCATAAGATTAAATAATGAAATCGATGAGGGTGGTTTGTACGGTTTTTACAAATGAGAGTGGTTTTCATTTGATCACTCCTCTATATGTATATACGAGCGATCAAATATAAATTACCCATATTTGTACAAACCGTGCAAACCACCCTCATCCATCGATTTCATTATTTCATCTTATGAAATTTTTCCATGAAATTGTTTCATATAATATTTTTTTGATGAAGTTGTTTTATATATGTTTATGAAATTGTTTCATATAATACTTATGAAATTTTAATGAAACTGTTTCATGTATTTCTCTAAAATTAATATAATGAAGATGATAATATCCATGATTAACACCTCTACAATCAAATGATTAATCAACCTCTCATAATTATAAAAAATGAACAAAATGAAAAATTATGATTGGTTAAATGAGGTTTGTACAAATAACGTGATTTGCAAAGTAAACCACCAATATATATGTTTGTGTGCGCATGCGCGCACGCACATGTGTATATGTATATATATGAGGTATATTTGAGATGACAGAATTATGCAATCTCTACTCAAAATCCTCAATTTCCATACATACTCTCATTTTTAATATTATGAGAAACTGGCCTTCAAATAAAGAGGTTAAATATTATGAGAAAGTAAGAAAAAAAGATCCACATATAAATAATTGAAAATTTCATTGTAAGATGCATTTGTGAACCCATATTAACAAATCTGTAAAATATATATGCATTTTTGAAGTCTTTTTTCCCCTTTTCTCAATAAATTCACATATCAACTTTCTCTTTTTATCTTTTCACGATATTTGAATCAGTGCCTCTATGCCTTCTTATCTGAACCGCCCCATATATACACATAGGATCACATTCATCAAAGAACCATAAAATTTTTGAGAAGCAAAGATGTATTTATATTTATGGATGCATATACACTATCAAAATATGTATTTAAGAATATCAACATCAAGATTTACCAATGCACATCTATTATGCATGCATGTATGTGTGTGTGTGTATATATATATATATATATATATATATATATATATATATATATATGCAAACACACGAGCTCAATGATATATACACATACGGAAATTCATTAGCATATACACATCAGTGAGTATACTAGTTCTCTGGTTCTCAAATGAACCACTCCCTATATATAGACTTGAGATCATATGAGACCAAGTTGTTCTTGTGAGACCCATGAGACCACTTAAATGACACTAAACCTTTATAGCAAAACACTATGAAGATAAGAAGTTTTTTTTACCTTCATAATATTTTACTATGAAGTTTCAACTGTTATTTTGTGACCTGACGAAAATAGGTTGGTCTCACATGAACCTAACCTTATATATAATGCAAACTAAATGCAACATTTTCAAATATTGCAACCAATGCAACTTCACAAGCATTAATCCCTTTCAGCCTCTTCTTTATCCGGACAGCGTTCAGTTCGCAAAATGGAATCCGAAGAAATCGAAATCCATCAAACAAAAACTCAAAGGAATTGAAATCCAACTTAATAAACAAAGACATCCCTTAGAAGGTGGAATAATTAGGTTCATTTAGTTTAGTTTATAACTTCACTTCTTCATCCATTACATCTTCACATTTTTCCATCTCAAATTTATACAAAAACACAAAAATTCATGCCATTTAATCACAAACTTATACATATGCATCAACATTTTCCTTCTAAAGCATCAACCAGAAGATCCAACTCTCCCATATCATATCGAAGAAGAAAGAACCTGGAACTCCAAGGACACGAACATATACGCTTTGAATGTTCGAGACAAGAATACTTGTCGGCCGAACACGGGCACCCGGCAGCCGAAAGGTACAAGTCATAGAAGCATACCATGCATTCCCTTTTCACCGAACAACCAAACTCTTCTTCCATCGGCCGCGATTGTGAACTATTGCATAACAACTCCCTCTTCAACCTTTCGCGCTTCAGGCACCACTGTTCCATTCCATACCAACAACCACTTCATTTGTATCAAGATTAGATAAGAGGTAAAGGTGTGTAGATACATCATACATCCCGAAATAAATGTTCAGCCACACAGTTTTGTAAATGTGTAATTATTACTTTTTAATTAACTAAATTACAATTTTACTCTTAATAATTTAGAGGAAAATAAATTTCTTCATCTCATAATTAAGGGCAGAATTGGAAAGTAGGCAGCTTAATGGGGCTTACGGCTTATTTGGTCAACTATACATGATTGTTTGATAGTGGCTTATTCAATAGGCTTCTGGGGTAGTTTTATGCGGAAAGCCAAGTTTTTTACAAACATGCCCCTCCAAATTAAAAAATATACTTCTTCTGTCTATTGAAAAACTCTTCCAAGCAAAAAAATTCCCAATCTATACAGACTGATGAATCCACATAGGCAGCTTATCTATACAGAACTTAATGGAAAACCAACCAAACAACCCCTTACTTTAGGACAAACTAAAATTAGAATATATGGACACTTATTTTTTTGAGGCAACCTACTTTTCAAAATGACGATAACAACTTTATAAACCCATGCAAACAAAACCGGTATATCCACTTAGAGGTAGGATTTGGGAAGGATATGACGTATGTAGACCATACCTCTACTCGAAGGTGTAGAGAGACCGTTTTCGTGAAGACCCATCCAAAGAAAAAAAATGCATGGTATGACTTTTGAGGTCAAACTCAAAAGATTCCATGTAGGATTTAAGCAAAATGGGATGACTTGTAAAAAGCTTGGGAATCCCAAGCCCTATGACAAACCACACCGACTCATCTGACCATATGAACCAAACCAAGAAGACTCATATGACCGTTTGTGCCAGGCCAAACCAAGCTGACTAGACCGACAAACCAAAGTTCAAACTTTTACTAGCCTATATGAGTCCATATAAACAAACTGAGCCAAGGCTCTTGCTTTTGGTGAGCCACATGCCAAGCCCATGCTTTACCATCTGTCTCAGAAGCCGAGCAAGCTTGAGCTCGCTCCGTTCAAATGCATCCTATTTGCAAATTTAAATTTGAGATCAATGAACACCAAAATTTCTTACTGTAACATTAGTGACAAAGTTTAATGCAGTTGCAAAGTTTTTTTTATCTTTTCTGTTGGGAACAGAGGGAGTATAAGGACTTACCTTAAGAGCTCTTGTAAAACCAACCATTCTTTCCACAGCCATTTTTCCACCGTGCAAAATCCCCTCGTGCTGCATCCCGGGCCCCCTCAATTAACACTTTGTCATAGGAGATTGATGTCTTTCTACGCCGCTCACTGTAAGTTTCTGCTGCTATCTGTCCATGTGGCAACCAGTCAAGAGGAGCAAGGTTTACCTTCTCAGAAACACTGAAGCCGGTATCAAATCCCGAATAGTATACTCCAGGAAAGATAAGAACAAATTGCTTCGGGTGCTGCACACAACGATACACAGGTATACCCTCTGATTTCAAGATAGATGGTGAAAGTTGAGTCACCTGTACAAAGTTCTCCAAACTTCATTAACCGAATTGATATGGTATATGATGAACTATTTCCTATATCAACTCCTTGTATATACTTCCCATCCCATGAAAATTGGGACATTTGACCAAGCACATAGTTTAAGGAACATGTTCGATTATTAGTTAAGGGTTGGGTTCCGTTGAGAATGGAAGTTATGGTGAGAAGGGTAAGAAGGGATCTCCAACCTCGGATCAATCCTAATTGAAGAGAACCACTAGATCAACATTAATGAGATACACTAGATCAATTCCCTTCTAAAGCGCAATTCATGGGTTGTTTTGGGATTAAAAGTGATCAAGGCTCCAAATCCCTTCTTACACTTCTCACCTTAACTCCTATTCTCACACGATCCTTCGTCTATTAGTTAAACAATCAAGATGCCTTTCAATAGTAACAAAATAAGGGTGAACCCAAATAGAAAACCAAATTCTTGTGAGAATTCGCAAATAGATAATTCTACTCGAAGATCTCCCAAAAATGTAAATCTTGAAATTGTCTTAAAGCCAGTCACAGAGGAAGCATGTTACAACGGCATGAATATTTGTTTCATATATGCCAACTATTTGGTTTTGTAGAAGGAAGTTCTTTAATTTCTCCAAAACTAGATATACTTCATTATTGACGACAAGGTTATATCGGTACTCACTAGTTTATGAAACAATTCAGGATGTCCAGAAATCTCTGGGAAGGTTTTCTTCAGTGCTGCTTCACAATTTAGGTGATATTTACCTGGGACCCCATACCAAATTCTTGAGGCACCCAGGTGCATGTAACTGAGACTGTACAAATGGTGCTCTTCAACCTTCTGGAAAAACAATAACAAAAACAAAGCAGAATTTAGGCATTTGACAAGTCAGTAAACAGAGAAAAATGACAACTTGTATGTTCAGATGCAAAGCAAACTATCATAAGAGATCTCAATATCTTCAAGCTCAATAGAGATTTAAATCTTACCCAACAAATGGATGAAAAGCACATCCCTACATCCAGACGTGGGGCCAAAAGGGCAGCACTGCCATGATCAAAAGCAAGAAGAGAGCCAGGAATCCTAGCTGTATTATTTAAGTTCCAACCTGATTTCGTGTATTCATTTTGATCATCACCACCAAGTGATGTTGAAGGAAATCCACTACCAAAAAACTTTGCCTCCAGATTATGACCAGACAGCACCTATGAGAAATTGGTATAAGATGGTATGGTTCTTGATTTTTTAGGGGGATGGTAAGGTGCAGCATACTTGTTAGGTGTCGATATACCTGAATTTGCTCAGTTGGATTTTGTACAATCCGCCAATATTCCCCTTCAACATTCTCCCAAGGCGAAGTCCTAAACTCAGTAAATATGTCTTTCTTTTGAAAATAATGCCCTTTGAAATGCTCCGCGTATCCCTTGAATGCTCGCAGCGTAAATTCAGGACCACATTCGAATTCAAAGCCATCAGACTCATGATCCAATTCCAATATTGAAGTTCTATTTCCTTCCGCTTGTTCAACGGTTTCATCAAGTTTTCTCTTTGAATACAGATCTTTAAGTTCATCAATCTGTTGAACATGGGTATGGAATTTAGAAGATTCCCATTGCTTTCCCTTAGCAGTGAATGGTGGTTTCCAGGAATCAGGAGGAACAATACGGCAAATTCCAAATTCCTCAGCTTTCGGACGTATTTTGGCAATATATTGAAGCGTATCTTTAAAATCCTGTGATAAAAAGTCAAACTTATCTCATTATAAAGATAAAAATGAGTGCCAACAAAACGTTGAGAATATCGAAGATGAAGAAAAACATGCAAAGTAACACGGTTAAAGGATATCAGAACAGATACCTCTTCGGTTGGATGAAATACAGGAGCATATTCTATTACAGGCTTGCAGGACTCTTCTGGACGCCAATGTGCAACAACCTGTAAAAGTTGTAATCCAGGTGAAGTATGATAAAAGAAAAAGTGAGGATATAGCCCTCATTAGAGGCTGAAAACGGTACTTATATATCAGTCAATTGAAAGATTATCTCTAACCTTCTGGCATTTATTGCAACTTGGACACCCACGAATAACTCCTTTTGGAAGGGTATTTTCCCCTGAGATATTCTGCATAATAAAGTGATTATTAACTGCCACTTAGGTTCATTGAATTCTAATTGGACATTATAATAGATCAGCATATAGGAAGTTACAACGTGCTAGCTACTAGTATATATTAATCATTTTCTCCATCTGGTAATATAAGAACAATATTGATGTTAAACCTAAACCAACCATGTCTTTCAAAACTATCACAGTCCTTTTTTCTTTAAGTCTAGCAGTTACACAAGCCTTTACTGCTACAGCCAAAACAAATAATAAAAAGAAAAGTTGAAAGCGAAAGATTATATCGTGCTAACAACAATCACAATATGATCAACTTTCTTCTAAATGGTGTGGTTGCCATCTATGTCATATATCCCATTTTAAGCCATTTTCTTACATTTTAATAAGCAAATGAAATCCTTCTTGGGTCGCTCTGAAGATTGCCATTCTGACGCCTCTTGTCTGTGTGTATGTGTACCTGGATACATGCATATCCATGTCTAGCACAACACTATGAATGAGGTGAACAATAGATACTTCCTTTAACACAGGAAGTACACATAGGTTCGCCATACCATGTCCAAAACAACTTCACAATAAAATATTGGAAGTCGCTGTTGCTCACTGGTTCAAAGTAGTGCGAACAAAATTTCTTCAACCATCTCAAAAAATGTGAGGAAAGATAATTCAAATGCTTAGGTAACATTATCTCTGGCTCTCCGCCCTGACTGCGTCCTTCTGAATTGTAATGGGAAGTTGCATTCTTTTCCATGATCGTTTGTTTAACAAATTGCAGGCATAAGGAGAATTTCCTTGACATTGACTTTAAAAGATTCCCAAAAAGAAATTGAGCTTTTTTTCATGACTGGAGATAGATCAAACTACGTACATCGGAATCACGTTTATGCTTTCAGTTTGGGAATTTGCTTCAAACCATATGCAACTACCCTTTTATGCGCAAAATTAGAACAAGAGAAGTGTCCCAAGAAGAGGACGTCAGGAAAGATAAAGGTAGGTCAAGATTGCCGTCCAGCAAAGGGAAAGAGAGATCCAAACGGGTGGAGTATACGTATAGATATTTCCTAATAAAGTAGTGCTTGGAAGCAGCGAAATGATGCTATTCTGTTCCGGAGCCCTGGAAAGGGGTCACCTCTTCATAATTCTATGTTGGTCCTGAATCTAACTTATGGCAACTAGTTTCAGAAGAGAGAAAAATTGGAGAACTTGTATAGTGGTAAAATACTAGTTCATGCTATAGTTGTAGAAGAAGAGAAAATAATAGAGAACTTGTATTCGGCCAATCTAGCATTGACCAAACTATGATATTGAAAGAAAATGGAAAGAAGATAGATAACCGTCTTCAGATGTTTCCTATCCAGTTTTTCCAGGTTGATGAGTTGATCATGAAGTATCCACGGCCTTCGCTTGAGACACTTCTGAAGCTTTTCAACATCAGCAATTTTGGAAGAAACTTCAATGGGCTCTGGTTCAATGTCATTTGGGTTTCCCGCTAAATTACAAGCTTCATTATTACCTTTTGTCCTCTTCAGTGTGAAAGATGTGAGAGATGCAAAACCTGGTGGAGCAGTCATTTCTTCCGCTCTTCCCCTTTTAATTCCTACATCTTTGTTTGTCATCATTACTGTGTGAAAGCAGGACATGGTCAAATATTAGCATACCAAGAAGAAACTGAAGTTACATAAAACATAAAATCCCAAACTTCAAAGAAAATGGAAAGAGGATGGTGCTCCTGGCAAAGTGTGTTGAGAAATAAAATGATTTATACACCTAAACGGCACGGTACTACCGCCCAAACGCATGTCCACTCTCCCCAAATGGGACAGGCCCAAATGTTGACATGGAGTGCACTAGCATACACCTAAATGGCGTGGTACTACCGCCCAAATACATGTCCGCTCACCTAATGGGACAGTCACCAAATGGTGACGTGGAGTGCACTAATTCAAGTTTTATGTATCAATACACACTAAAGGGGTCGTTTACCAAATGTTTACCAGGTAAGTGCTTACCAATATCACTTACTTTACCGGTTGAGCATGACAAGGACCAAAAAACTGATCCGGTAAGAGACATAACAAAGATCGAGTCTTACTTGGTAAGTAAGGAAAAAGTCTCTTACCTGGTAAACGGTTACCGGGTATAAGACACTTACCAAGTACCAACAAACCATTTTGATGGCCAAGAGTATTACATGATAAGAAAATTACAAGACAATTCCTCTTGCATTAAGCACTTACCGAGTAAGTATTTGGTAAACGCCCCTAATTTATGCAAAGATCCTTATAATCCATGTATTGCTGGTCAATCATTAAGTGGTCTAATCCCAATAAATAATTAATGAGTCAGTAACAATGATCATTCTTTAGTTTGTTCTTATGAGCTTAAACAAATGAAATTTCAGTGCACTTCATTAGCTACCAAAACCAAATTAAGTTGGTGGTGGAGCTTTCCAACTGATGGCACACGACCCCATAGTAAACACATACCCGGTAAGAGAACACCGGCCATCCAAATCTCCACCATAGTAAGAATCAACATACCCTTGAACACCGTCCCTTGAGGTTCCAAAACACAAACAATAGTCTCTAGTACCCGATAGGTACCGGAGAACCCACTGAACTGCCTTCCAATGCTCTCTACCCGGATTAGCCATATAACGACTTACCATGCTTAYAGCATAGGCTAAGTCCGGTCTCGTACAGATCATCGCATACATCAATGACCCAACTGCACTAGAGTAAGGAACCCGAGACATGTACTCTTTTTCTTCATTAGAATCAGGGCATTGACATGCAGATAATTTAAAATGAGCGGCAATGGGAGTATTTACCGTTTTGGCGCCATACATGTTGAACCTCTTTAACACCTTCTCGACATAGCTCCTTTGACTAAGTGTCAAAGTTCTCGCCTTTCGGTCTCTAGAAATCTCCATGCCAAGAATCTTTCGAGCCTTGCCCAAGTCCTTCATTTCAAACTCTGTATTCAATTGATCCTTGACCAGTTGGATATCTTCCTTGTACTTTGAAGCTATAAGCATATCGTCCACATATAGCAATAGATAGACAAACGAGCCATCTTCACATCTTCTTATATAAACACAACTGTCATATGAACAACGTGAGAAATCATGTGAAGTCATAAAGGTAGCAAACCTTTTGTACCATTGCCTTGGCGATTGCTTTAGCCCATATAATGACTTCTTCAGCCTGCAAACCAAATCCTCTTGACCAACACTCACAAAACCTTGAGGTTGATCCATATAAATGTCTTCCTCTAGCTCACCATGTAGAAATGCAGTTTTAACATCTAAYTGCTCAAGYTCAAGATCATTCAAAGCAACTATACTCAACAATGCACGTATAGAAGAATGCTTGACTACAGGTGAAAAAATATCCGTGAAATCAATACCTGGAATCTGACTGAAACCCTTCGCCACAAGCYGAGCCTTATATCTGAGAGGCTCTACATCCGATATCCCTTCCTTCTTCTTGTACAACCATTTGCATTTAATTGCCTTTTTACCTTTGGGAAGAGGAACGAGCTCCCAAGTACCATTTTTGTGTAGGGACTCCATCTCATCATGCATTGCCACAATCCATTTTTCTGAATCTTCAGAATCAAYCGCTTCATTATACGTAGATGGATCCTCAACTGACTCCATCTCGAAGGCAACCGTAAACGCACACGCTACCACCTCAACTTCAGCGTACCGTGCAGGACGGACCATCTGTCTTCGACCCCGATCCCTGGCAATGCTAGGCTGTGGCTTGGGTGGTGGCAAATTAGAAGCACCATCACCTTCACCATCAGACAACGAAGACGACTGTGAGACGATAGGAGGCGTCGTCGTAGGACTAACTGGTAGCTCCACCTCCACTCGAGATCCCTCAGAAGAACTAGGAACATCTACCTTCGGTTGATCAGAAACGGTAGGCTTGCACAACATAGAGCTTTCATCAAAAGTCACATCCCTACTCACAATGACCTTTCGGGTCTCCGGACACCATAATCTGAAACCTTTTACACCGGCTTTAAAACCCAGAAATATACATTTGACGGCTCTAGGCTCAAGTTTACCATTGTCTGCTTTGGCGTAAGCGGGACATCCAAATACCTTCATGTCAGAATAATCAGCAGGTTTGCCCGACCACACCTCAATTGGTGTTTTCTTATCAAGGGCATATGATGGAGAGCGATTAATTATAAAACAAGCAGTTGATGCGGCTTTGGCCCAGAACGTTTTTGCCAAACCAGCATACACCGAACCTTTTCCATGATCGTTTGGTTCATACGTTCAGCCACGCCATTTTGTTGGGGAGTGTGAACCACCGTATGGTGTCTAGTAATGCCTTGACTAGTACAATAGGCATTAAACTCCGTCGAACAAAACTCTAGACCATTATCGGTCCTGAGATATTTGACATGCTTGTCGGTTTGCTTTTCTATCATAATCTTCCAATCACGGAAGTTAGCAAACACATCACTTTTATGTTTCAAGAAATAAGCCCATACCTTTCGMGAGTAGTCGTCAATAATCGTCAGCATGTAAACGGCACCACCATGYGAYGGAACTCTCGCCGGTCCCCATAGGTCAGAGTGTACGTACTCGAGAATCRCCTTGGTCGTATGAGTTGAGCTCGAGAATGACACCTTCTTTTGCTTCCCAAAYACACAGTGCTCACAGAATGGAAGCTTCTYGATTGCTTGGCTACCCAAAARCTGCTTTTTGCTCAACTCCATCATACCGGCTTCACTCATATGCCCGAGTCTCATGTGCCACAATTTYGTATTATCAACATCAGAAAAAATCGATGAGGCTACCTGAGCATCTCCCATGATAGTAGTGYCCGTCAGATAATAAAGATTAGCACTTTTCCGAGTGCCCTTCAAATAGACAAGAGAACCTTTAACCACCTTGAGAACTCCATTTTCACCGACGAATTTGTAGCCATTCATTTCAAAAGTACCAAGTGAAATTATTAGACATATACCTGGGCTTAAGAGAAACCTAATTTCACTTGGTACTTTTGAAATGAATGGCTACAAATTCGTCGGTGAAAATGGAGTTCTCAAGGTGGTTAAAGGTTCTCTTGTCTATTTGAAGGGCACTCGGAAAAGTGCTAATCTTTATTATCTGACGGGCACTACTATCATGGGAGATGCTCAGGTAGCCTCATCGATTTTTTCTGATGTTGATAATACGAAATTGTGGCACATGAGACTCGGGCATATGAGTGAAGCCGGTATGATGGAGTTGAGCAAAAAGCAGYTTTTGGGTAGCCAAGCAATCRAGAAGCTTCCATTCTGTGAGCACTGTGTGTTTGGGAAGCAAAAGAAGGTGTCATTCTCGAGCTCAACTCATACGACCAAGGCGATTCTCGAGTACGTACACTCTGACCTATGGGGACCGGCGAGAGTTCCRTCGCATGGTGGTGCCGTTTACATGCTGACGATTATTGACGACTACTCKCGAAAGGTATGGGCTTATTTCTTGAAACATAAAAGTGATGTGTTTGCTAACTTCCGTGATTGGAAGATTATGATAGAAAAGCAAACCGACAAGCATGTCAAATATCTCAGGACCGATAATGGTCTTCGGCGGAGTTTAATGCCTATTGTACTAGTCAAGGCATTACTAGACACCATACGGTGGTTCACACTCCCCAACAAAATGGTGTGGCTGAACGTATGAACCAAACGATCATGGAAAAGGTTCGGTGTATGCTGGTTTGGCAAAAACGTTCTGGGCCAAAGCCGCATCAACTGCTTGTTTTATAATTAATCGCTCTCCATCATATGCCCTTGATAAGAAAACACCAATTGAGGTGTGGTCGGGCAAACCTGCTGATTATTCTGACATGAAGGTATTTGGATGTCCCGCTTACGCTAAAGCAGACAATGGTAAACTTGAGCCTAGAGCCGTCAAATGTATATTTCTGGGTTTTAAAGCCGGTGTAAAAGGTTTCAGATTATGGTGTCCGGAGACCCGAAAGGTCATTGTGAGTAGGGATGTGACTTTTGATGAAAGCTCTATGTTGTGCAAGCCTACCGTTTCTGATCAACCGAAGGTAGATGTTCCTAGTTCTTCTGAGGGATCTCGAGTGGAGGTGGAGCTACCAGTTAGTCCTACGACGACGCCTCCTATCGTCTCACAGTCGTCTTCGTCTTCGTTGTCTGATGGTGAAGGTGATGGTGCTTCTAATTTGCCACCACCCRAGCCACAGCCTAGCATTGCCAGGGATCGGGGTCGAAGACAGATGGTCCGTCCTGCACGGTACGCTGAAGTTGAGGTGGTAGCGTGTGCGTTTACGGTTGCCTTCGAGATGGAGTCAGTTGAGGATCCATCTACGTATAATGAAGCGGTTGATTCTGAAGATTCAGAAAAATGGATTGTGGCAATGCATGATGAGATGGAGTCCCTACACAAAAATGGTACTTGGGAGCTCGTTCCTCTTCCCAAAGGTAAAAAGGCAATTAAATGCAAATGGTTGTACAAGAAGAAGGAAGGGATATCGGATGTAGAGCCTCTCAGATATAAGGCTCGGCTTGTGGCGAAGGGTTTCAGTCAGATTCCAGGTATTGATTTCACGGATATTTTTTCACCTGTAGTCAAGCATTCTTCTATACGTGCATTGTTGAGTATAGTTGCTTTGAATGATCTTGAGCTTGAGCAGTTAGATGTTAAAACTGCATTTCTACATGGTGAGCTAGAGGAAGACATTTATATGGATCAACCTCAAGGTTTTGTGAGTGTTGGTCAAGAGGATTTGGTTTGCAGGCTGAAGAAGTCATTATATGGGCTAAAGCAATCGCCAAGGCAATGGTACAAAAGGTTTGCTACCTTTATGACTTCACATGATTTCTCACGTTGTTCATATGACAGTTGTGTTTATATAAGAAGATGTGAAGATGGCTCGTTTGTCTATCTATTGCTATATGTGGACGATATGCTTATAGCTTCAAAGTACAAGGAAGATATCCAACTGGTCAAGGATCAATTGAATACAGAGTTTGAAATGAAGGACTTGGGCAAGGCTCGAAAGATTCTTGGCATGGAGATTTCTAGAGACCGAAAGGCGAGAACTTTGACACTTAGTCAAAGGAGCTATGTCGAGAAGGTGTTAAAGAGGTTCAACATGTATGGCGCCAAAACGGTAAATACTCCCATTGCCGCTCATTTTAAATTATCTGCATGTCAATGCCCTGATTCTAATGAAGAAAAAGAGTACATGTCTCGGGTTCCTTACTCTAGTGCAGTTGGGTCATTGATGTATGCGATGATCTGTACGAGACCGGACTTAGCCTATGCTRTAAGCATGGTAAGTCGTTATATGGCTAATCCGGGTAGAGAGCATTGGAAGGCAGTTCAGTGGGTTCTCCGGTACCTATCGGGTACTAGAGACTATTGTTTGTGTTTTGGAACCTCAAGGGACGGTGTTCAAGGGTATGTTGATTCT